CTGTGGGTGTGTTTGCACGCTGATGTTAGCAATTAGCTAAAAACACCACTGAGCCGAAGCACAGCCTGACGGATCCACATGCTGTAGACTTGTTCCAATGCACACCCACAATAGTGTGCAGGAGGACATCTTGTATGTGTTAGGCTGGAATTTATTTTTCAAGAAAATGAATCATTGGCATCCTTACATTGTTCACGTCACAGTTTAAAACTATGTCAGACCTTTTTTTGAACACAGATTTTTACACAGTGATTTCTTTTTTGTTGTTTTTTTTTTTTTTGTAAATGCTGTAAGTTGTTGTACAATGAATCTCAGCTCTGCAAAGAATCTTTTTTTTTTATCAGCTTCAACACATCACTGACTCTATCAACCTTCTTGCTCGTCTGACTTAACAGCGTGCCGTCTTCCCTGTATTTATAGTGGATGTGTGAACATGTGCCTGCATGAGCATGCGGTATGCTCCACATCCCAGAGGAGCTAAATGCTAGGAAGATGAATTTCTAGGTAATGGTGATGTTTTTCTGCTCTTGCCTTCGCTTACCCCTCCTTCCTTTCTCTGAGGAAATATCTGTAAACAGTGCTGCAGGGTCAGGGCCAGCCGGCACCACACAGAACCTGATAAGAAACCACATGGAGGCAGCAGCTGTTCCTTTTACACTTACAGTTTNTATCACCATTTTTGCTACGTGTACATGAACATCTTTGTCTCCTTCGTCTCACCCCAGGCCAGATCCACCAGAGGGAGCAGGAGATCGCGGAGCTGAAGCAGAAGATAGCGGAGGTGATGGCGGTGATGCCCAGCCTGTCCTACTCGTCAGACGGCAGCAACCTCAGCCCCGTCACCCCACACTACTCCTCCAAGTTCATGGACAATAGTCCCTCCTCCCTGGACCCCAACGCCTCAGTCTACCAGCCCCTCAAAAAGTGACTCTGACATCGACGCTTTTGTCAGACTGAACTTTTTCCCTCTTTCGTTATTTTGCTCTCATTTCCGGTTTGGGTTGTTTCTGAGTTTACTAGCCCCTGACTGTTTTTTTTTTTTTTTGCACTCTAACGTACCACACACAGTGCACACAACCCCCCCTTCATACATATTCGTTTGTCGTTTTTTCGTTCATTTCGGTTCTATTATGAGAACTATTATTTCGAGGGGGTTGTGTACAATAGGATTTCTTTAGTTTGTTGTTTTGAGTTTTGGGATTTAGCCATCAGACAGCGTGATCTGTTTGAAGGGGGAGAAAGGAACACAGAACTGGTTGGCCACATGTCTACCGAAGAGCCATCGTGCATCGCTGTCATGTCAGTCTTCTTTTGGTGTACAGTCTAAACCCCCTCCTTCCTTATAGCCATATTTTTCTTCTGTAGTAAGCTGACACCCAGGCTTTTAATTTTAAGAAAACAATTGGCTATTCATGATGGTTTATATGAGGCATGTTTTCAGTTCAGATGTGAATTAGAAGCTCACCTGTAAAGTAATGCCCCCGTGAGAGATACATGAATGTACTACTGTTCATGTTTTGGTATCAGCATTAACTTAAATCAGTGATTGTTTGTTTTGTAATGTTTCAGTTCAGTTACAACGATGTACATTTCTTCTAAAATAGTGATATTGAACAGGTAAACTTTTTGCTGTGTTCCTCAGATATTCCAACACAATTTAGTCTCCTAATGCTGGACCAGTGGATTCTCCAGGATTACCAGTACATGGACGAAGCAGACGTAGTTTTGTCCTTAAGAATACTACTGCTAGATTGGACCTGGCACTGCCAAAACATTACATCGACGCTCACTCGTTTGCTGCAGACACCTTTTCCTCTCCCTTCTGGACCAAATTAGAACCCGTTAGGCCATATTGTTCACCGGATTTAATGATGTCGAGGTAACTGGTCGTTACCATTATTTGCAGATTTTTACAGTGCCTTGCAGTTTCTCTTTTTGAGATGCAGAAACCACATACTTTGCAAATCCTGGGATCTAAAAGCATCAACTTCAAAGCTGTTGTTCTCTCTCGAGTTCTGTTTTTTTGGTTTTTTTCGTTTGTACGAGTTAAAGATCTCTCACAAAGTCAGTATTCAAAGGCTAAAACAATTAAAGTGTCACATCAGACACATTCAGTCTCGTTGCAGCTAATTGACCACGTTATTGCAGACTTAAAGGGAAAACTTAACACTGGACATGGTACAAGTCATTTCATAGTGGCACAGTCTTGGTATGCCAAACACCAACCAAACTGATTGTCTATTATCATGCCGTCTAGCTGGCATTTTGTTGTTTACAACGATGTACATTAACTTACTGAGGAATGTTTTCTTTGTTAATTTCATTTCAGTTCTTAAGTGCCAAGTGTTGATGTTCAGTTTCCATCCATACTTTGATCGATGTAGCTAGCGTAACGTTTGCAGAAGAGTGCTGTTATTTTTTTTGTCATTAGAACATATTCAGATGGTGTTGTGTTTACAAGGTTCTGGGCTGATCACGACGAAGCAGCAGATGGTCAGTTGGACTGATTGTGTTATTCACACGTTTATTTATTTGATACAGACTTTTTTTTCTGAGTGGCACTTCTTTGATATTTCCCAACATGTTCAGTTGGTTTCCTATATTTTCTACCAGGAAGGATTCTGTGAATGTGTTGTGTTGGGAAAAGGGTACCCCTGAACCATTTTGACCATGTTGTGCTGTCATGTCGCCTACCTGAAAAAAAAAGAAGAAAAAAAAAAAGATGTATTGTTTGTGGATCGCTCTGGCGTTGTGAATTCAGTTCTCAAGTTGCTTTTACAAGTTTGTGTAGAAGGAAGAGAAGGTTTCAACAAAAAAACAAAAAAAAAAGTGCTTTGTTTTATCTTTTCATTGTTCCACCATGTTTCTTTTCTTTACTCAGAGTGATGGTGGCCATGTCACACTTCTCACTTTGATCATCACTATTAAAGAAAGTCTTGCTGGTGGCAATGCAAGCTGTTGACTCTCTGTGCATGTCATGATCTGTGAGTCTAGTTCTCCTTTTTTTCCAGTCTTTTTTTATCTAAAACTGACCACAAGATGGTGACAGTGTGGTCTGCAGAATTTAAGACAGAAATACAAGCCAGTTGATGCAGTTGTGGAACCTTGTGAGACTTAATTTGAAGCACAGCAAATGATTTATGTTGCTGTAGACCTTTAAGCCAGCTTATCACATTTTGCTTACATTCTCTACCTAAAACTTTATCTCTGCAAGATAAAATCAAAAAAGAAGGTGCATGCCTTGACGCTGCCTTCACATGCTTCATGGAAATGCCTGTTTTCTAGTCAGAAATTACACACGCAGGTTGCATTTAGTTGCTAAAGGGCAAACAAAATAACCCTTTTTTTTTTTCTTTTTTAAAGAAGGCATGAGGCCACAGAGCTGGTTTGTCCTGTAGGTTTTATGTATGCGTATGTGGCAATGAACTGACATACATGTTCGGTAAATATGTTCAGCTCTTTGCCTGCTCAGGGAGATAATGCAAAACCTGACCTATTTACAAAATGTTTAACCGTCTGAAATGAGAAAACAAATAGCAATACAGATTCAAATATGAAAAGGCTTTTTTTGAAGTTGGTGCTAACTTTTTTTTTTTTTTTAGCCACTACAACCTAAATGTCAGTGAGCAGCTACAAAAGCAACAAATTCAGCTCTGATGAATCCTCTGAACCCCAAAACCTGCCAGCGGGTTTGAAAAGCACATTGTTAGTTGATAGACACGACATCAAAAGTCAGGAATTGTAGAAACAGAGAGAATTGCTGGATTTTCAACTTGAATGTGCCAAAAAAGAAAGAAAGAAAGAAAGAAAAAAAACAACTTACATTTGTTATCAAAATGATTTTATTCTACATGTCCAATTAAAAAATAAATGCTCCTCAGTGTAAAAAATGTGAAAGTGTTTAGGTGAACTGCATGTTACCATAGAGAGGAGATAACAATGGGGATTAACAGCAAAGTGAAACTGAAAAAATGGCTCAAGAAAAGGTGTACAGAGGAGCAAGTTGTATGAAGATACACTCAGCATGAGGAAATGCCTTTCTCCAGCTGACTAGCATGAAGATAGTTTGTAGATATTGTAAAAATTTAAATTTGCCTAATGTATGTATAGCTAGTATATTAGTTCTCCAGTACTATTGATAACATCAGTTGCACATATTGATAAAAGTACTAATAACTAAAAAAAAAAAAAAAAAAAAAGGAAAACATGACATTGCTTTTGAATTGTGGTTCAACAGAAATATAAAAAAAAACAAGCAAACAAGCATGATGGGACCCGTAAACTGATATTTAGTTGAGCAACCCTTTGAGCCAATCACTGCAATCAAGTGTTTTCTGTAACTCTCAATCAAACTTCTGCACCTGTTGACAGGTGTTTTAATTGTGACCCACGGCTCATCAGGAAAGTGCTCTAATTTGTCCGGGACAGTTTAGTTTCTTGTTTTTTTCTTAATTATTCTTTTCAACCACAATTCAAAAGCAATATATTATTTCCTTAAATTATAATTTAGCAAATTTTTATGTATAATTACTTTTTACAGTTTCGACTTCTTCAAGTGACTATTATGAATTTTGCCTTTTCTTTAATGGAAGGGTATGAATAATTTTGAGAACAACTAAAAGTATCCCCTCCCAAGTTTATGTAAAATAAATAATCAGAGAAATTCAGTTATATTTTTTTTTGTTCCCTTTTTGTGTGTTTATAGCATCATAAGTAGCCATGGTTGTGTTGTTTCAGTGGAAGTGCAGGACTTCATATTACAGTAAAAATAAAAATAAAAATAAAAAAAGAGGACATAGTGAGCAAAAATATAACAGGAGCAGAAAAAAAAACGTCCGGAAAGTGCTTCAGGTTTAAAGAGTAAACAACCATGTTCATATATATTTTTTTTCTCATATCGCGTAATGTCCCATGTGACTCAAACGCAGCACTACTTCCCCGTGCGGCACGTAAATAGCGGGATGTCTGACTGCACTGGAAGGCAGCACCAGTCCATCTTCCCATCAGCAGTCCGGTCAACAAACACTCTGCCGGAGGAGCCGCCGCCGCAAAACTTCAGCGACTCTCCGCACTTTCAAACACCGACATGGATGCCCTCAAGTCGGCCGGGAGAGCAATCATCCGGAGCCCGAGTATGGCGAAACAGTCGTGGACCGCCGGCAGACACAGAAGTAAGAAATAGAAGTTAGCCGAAGAGGAAAAGCGGAGAGATTTGATTAATTGTTTTTCTATCACCGTTAGCTTAAAGTTGACTTTTTGCTCGCCGCTTTACCACAACTACGGGCTAATTATCACATCTGTGAGCTAACTTTACTCAACTTTTCGTCTCAAAAGCAAAAAATTAAATGTTAGCCGTCGACTGTCACAACAAAGTGAGAAAAAAACAAAACATGGAGTTTGACATCTTTTTTTAACTTTCGTAGGCAGCGGTGCGTTTGCGTTCCCAGAGGTTACTAAAGTGCAACCTAAAAATGCGACATTGTTTTTTTTGGGTGGAAATGTTGCTATTTCTGCTTTTGGAGGTTTACTAACTGTTTGTAATGCGGTTTATCCAGTTTCAGGAAAACAACCAACAACAACAACAAAACAAAAAAAAATAACAATAAGTCAACTACATCTGTTAATATCAGGAGTTATAATTGGAAAATATTCTAAATGTTTTCACTGTACTCACGTGAAAATGTAAGATTACAGTAATAGTATTTTCACAGGGTTTTACTGCTGTGCTCAGGACAATAACTTTCTTGTTATTTGACTCGTTGCTGCTGCTGTATTTTGGATTTGTGGATAATCTCAGCCCACCGCCCTCCTTCCACCAACACCACCAGAGGAAGTGCAGAGGTCAGGGTCACAACTTACTGTGATTTTTTCTTTTTTTTTCCCCCTTTGTTGCTTGCTCAAGGGCACTTTAGCAGGGCAGGAGCTTGCCCACACAGCAACATTAACATGAAACTCTTTTAAGACCGCTCCGGTGCCTATTGTGGGACTCAAGGGCCACTTTGTAAGCTAAATCTCACTTGATCCTGGCTGTAAAGTTGTGGAGGGGAATGACCGGGTGGCTTAGAAAGCCTGAAAGCTCTCCCTGCCTGTAACCAAGAGGACAAGCCAGGAATGCTGCGGGTCAGTCAGTGCACGGCCCCCGTTGGCTCTAATTCAAGCCGGTCTATTTTAAATTCCAGAAAGGCCATTGTCAAATCTATAGGGGGATTAGAAAATACAGGGTGGATAGCGCTGATGTACTCCCATTATTGTAACCTTAGCGCTCACCTGGAAAAGTGGCAGCGCCTCAGGAATCCGAGATACACATCTTTGCGGCACATTAGCGCGTTAATGGAAGGGGCTCAGATGTTAATGTAGTTACTTCTGCACAGCTGTCAGTGGCTGCAGTTGCTTCTGATTGTAATCCATCCAACAGACAGTTTCCTCAAAAATATTCACAGGGCATGACTGTTGCATGAAGTGTATTCGTTTTATGACGTGTCGCTGTGTAAATGCTGCACAGTAAAAGTACAATTCCTATATCCACAGTGTTGAGTGCAAAGCAACACTTGTCAGAATATACCTGCAGTCGTCCTCATATTTATTCACACCCTTCCGTTAAAGAAAAGGCAAAATTCACAATAGTCACTAAAATAAGTAGAAACTGAAAAAAGTAACAATACATAAAAATTTGCTAAATTACAATATAGTGAAATAAGATATTACTTTTGAGTTGTGGTTGAAAAGAATAATTTTAAAAAAACAAAACTGTCCCGGACAAATTAGAGCACTTTCCTGATGCGCAGTGGGCCTAAATTAAAATACCTGTCAACAGGTGCAGAAGTCTGATTGAGAGTTACAGAAAACACTTGATTGCAGTGATTGGCTCAAAGGGTTGTTCAACTAAATATTAGTTTATGGGTCCCATCATGCTTGTTTGCCTGTTTTTTCTTTTTTGTTTGGGTTTTTTTTGTATTTCTGTTGAACCACAATTCAAAATCAATGTCCTGATTTTCATTAAATTTGTATTTATTATTACTTTTGTCAAACATATTTCAGTGAGTTTTTTCTTCTTCTTTAATTGGAAGGCATGAATAAATCTGAGGACGGCTGCACCCTCTATTTTAAAAGAAGTTCTCGCTGTCTGAGTTGGTTTGTTCCACCTGAGGTGATTGCATGAAGCTTTTTGACTCTTACGGGGTTCTTACTCTGATTATTGGTGGAATTAACAGCTTCCTGTAAATGCAGCTTCTGACCCACTTGTTATAGAAGTGGTGTATTGTAGTATAGATTACCAGGTCTTCTCCTGGCTGCAGGGCTCACATTCCTCACCAGCGCTGACCCATATCATCCATGCCAGACTTCCAGGTCTCACCCGAAGGGACCAAGGCGGGATCGGCCTACATTTCCATGGACTCAGGGACTGATTGCATTAGGTGAATTTGGCTAGACAGAAAACCAGCAGCAGGCCTGGGGCACCTGAGGACCACTAGAGCCTTGTACCATTTTGCACATATTGCCATGAATGAGGCTCTATAGGCTTAGCCACTCATCTTGAGGAGGCACCTTTTCAGCCACCATGGGTTCTGCCTTTTTTTTTTTCTTTTCTTTTAAATGGCAAAGGCCTCATCCACTTTATTGCTCTTAATGTCCTGGCATGGTCGCCCTAGACGACCTACGGCGGCACGCTGCCAGTGTTGAGGACCAGCCTGAGGGTGCTTGTCTGTGGCAAAGAGCCTTTTTCTAGGAGCCTCCTCAAATCGAAGCACATGACCGCACACCAACACACAGTGACGCTTAGTGTGGCAAATCATTGCTGGGAATAATTCTACCCCAAAAAGAAGTAGTTACAAAAGCAGGGGACATGCTGTTCAGTTAGGTCTTGTCTTACTCGGAGTGTGCTTGTGGACGAGGCTTTTTCTTCTTCTGTGTCCACCATCAGTCTTCCTGCTCCACTGTCCTTGCTGTATTTCATTGACATTTTAAGCAATCAGTTGCTCCGTTGGCTACAGTGGAACTTCTGTGAGAAACAGTGAAATGTTACCAGAACAGATTTATGTGCTTTTCTGCAGTCACAGATGTAGCAGGTGGCGTCTAAACTGGACAGCTCAGATGACGGCACCTCTGTTTGTTGACGTGTGAGACGCCCACTGATCAGATTCAGAGACAGAAAGGTTAGCTGGGAAACAACTGATTAATCGATAAGTTGTCAACTAATAATTCAATCACTAACTATGTTGATAAACTGGCTTTTCAGTTCCAGTTTATGAAGTTTAAATTCTTTCTTTCCTCCTCTATAGCAGTAAACTGAATACTTTTTTGAGGACGTCATCTTGGCTTTTAAAAACACTGATCGACGTTTTATAGACCAAACAGCCAATTTAGCAAATAAAGAAAATAATCAACAAATTACTCAACGGTGAAAATAATTGTCAGCTGCAGCCCAGTTTCCAGGATAGCTTACACTGAGAGGACTGATATAAAAAGATGTGTGGCCAAGTCTACTGACAATCTGACTCTGTTGAACCGCTGGAATCATAAAGCTGGAGTTATAAGGAAAATGCATCATGTTGTAGGTCTTAGCTTAATGTAAGTACAGTCGAGGGTTGCAGTTTCATGCAGGATGTGATTATTATAACAAAGAGAGATTAACTGAATGAAAGCATCTCTAGATTCCTGCATGTCGGGCAGGGTCCTTCCAATACTAAACTATATGAGCATACTGGCTCACACAATGTGAGAGAAACTGTCGACTAGATGAGTTAAATATGTGTAAGATTTTAGAGCTGTGGTTTGGGGGTTTGTGGTTCGTCTGGTTGTCAGAAGAGACGGGCAAAGAGCTGAATAAACTCTGCCAACGAGAGGAGGAGCAAGTCCACAAGTCTGGCATAATTTGCTCTCGTAAAATTTAAAAACACAAACACACAAAGGCATCACTTCTGTAATTGCAACGAGACTGTGGTTGAACCAAAAAACTAACTCACTTTATGAACAAGTATTCTCTTTTGCTGCAGTTGCTGCATTTTGCACTGTTGCTCTTCTTTGAGTTTTCTGGCACATCAAGTCTACAGGCTGATAAGTGAACTTGGGGTGAAAGGCCTCTGAAATGCTTGTTTAACTTTGCTTCTGCAGAAACTTCCAGACCAACATGTTTTCACAAACGTGTTTACATTTTTCTGCTTTAGCAGAATCCCTCACATCAACTCAGATTAACTTCGGTGTGGAGAAGCTAATCAGTGGAATTTAGAAAAAAAAAAAAGTGAGAGGTTGAGTTGTAAAAGAAAAAGATCATTTGGCATGGAGTGCTGGAGGGGTCCTAAGTTGTAGGACCACAGTTGGTGGTTTCCCCAGTGATCCAGTGTTTGGTGTAGACACACAAATCAAACGGGACGTGAACTGCCTGACAGTTGGACCTTTTTGGATCAACATGTGTTGTGGAAGATGTCCCAGTGTTAATGAAGACTTTTTTTTTTGCGCTGAGATACATTAAATGGATGCTCATCCATCAGTGTTGGATGTAATGGATGACTTCAGAGCAGAAGAACTGAGGCTTCTTTTAAACGTCCTCTTCTCTCTAACTTTGTCTTTTAGGACCCTCCACTTATGCTACCACCAGAAAACTCCGTGATTGTTTTACAACCAGTAATTAATCTCTTAACACTAACAGCTGGTGAGTTTGCTTTGTATGTTAAGTAGGGGGTCACCTGGTTTTACTCGGTCTCAGTTCACACATATACACAGCTGTTTCCTTTCACGTGTAGTTGTTGCTGCTGACCTCTGATCCCGAACCCTCCACATTCTCAGGCTGAGCTGCGCCTGGTACCTGCGCTGTTGCTGTTTTCTCAGGATAGAGGAAAATTGAAAACCGATGCCGGCACTTTATTAAAGATTTGATGCTATCCATTCGGTGTGAGAGCAGTTTGTAAATCCTGCAATGAAACCTCTTTCACTTAAAGAGTTGTTTGAAAGGCGCCTTTTGGAGTTTAAATGGAAAGTTTTGTGTTTTAAATGCTGTTGTAATTTTTAAGAATTCTTTAGTGGTGCAAGGTCACAAAATATTACTTTCTTTTTTTAAACTGTTATATTATTATTTCCTAAATTTTAAACTTTTTGTCTTTGTGGTGTTAAGTGCTGGCAAGAGATGCTGAAGGATACACAAATTGTTTTTTCACAATAACAAATCACCACTTACAGCCATAATGAAAACCAATAGCCAGACACTAGATTGAACCAGTAACCTTTCAACAAATTGTTTCAAACGACTCTTCCTCTCTAATCCTATAAATTTGTGCAACCATTACTAGGCCCTTTTTTTATATTCATTTGTCCTTCTCCAAAACTTTATCAAAAAAAAGTGCAGAAGTAAAACTTTATTTGTCGTGAAAACTATAAATTCAGTTCAGCCCGAGATTATTCAGAGTTTAAAACTTTCGATTTAGCCACACTAACAGCTCAGCCCTGTGACTGGCAACGTTTGATCCAGGCTGAAACATCTAAATAGCTGTTGGGTGGATCATCCTGAAACTTTTGTTCAGATATGAATCTTTCCAAGACGACGAACCCCAAGGAATTTACACGTCACCTTTCTTTTTACGTAGAGCCGTCAGCTGGTAGTAGTTGGCTTATTGTGTGAAACGTTTCTAGATTAACTTGATGTTCGTTTGTAATCATTTAGTAGGAGTCAACAGATGTGTTTTTTTGCAGAGCTGATACCAATGTTATAATCAAGGGTATTTGGAACCGATGTACATTGGCAGAAATTCTCGGAGACAAAATTTAGGATAACACAAACTCCGAGACAGAATTTTGCTGGAATGTCTTTGTTTATTGATTTATTTCTATGTCCACTTCAGTGTCGACTGGCCGTTACTTATGACAAATAACCGATCAGATAGTGATGTGGGTGAGACTTTACTTGAGATCACATAATGGCTACAGATAGAGCGAGAGAGAGGCTGCATCAGAGTCAAAGTCGTGCATTTATAAGTTTATTTCACTGGAAACCTGTTTAAAAAAAAATGATACTAATGATCGGCAAAATACTGAACATCGGACCACCATGATGCTTGCACTTATTGTTTTAAGGGAAATATTTATACAGCTGTTTGTGTATCACCATGAACTGTGGTTCAGATGCTCATGCTCCTTTCAGGATAAATTTCTAAACACTTGGGTTGATCCTGCTGCTACTAATTGTTTAATTTGTCTAATATGTCCAAATATCAGCAACACCAGTGACATTCCCATCAGCTTCAGCTCTGTATTTATTTAGTGCTGATTAGCAAATATTCTATCACGTTCATCTAAGATAAGGAATATTGTAAAGATAACTAATGTGTCCGTGCTGTCACTGTGGGTGTGTTTGCACGCTGATGTTAGCAATTAGCTAAAAACACCACTGAGCCGAAGCACAGCCTGACGGATCCACATGCTGTAGACTTGTTCCAATGCACACCCACAATAGTGTGCAGGAGGACATCTTGTATGTGTTAGGCTGGAATTTATTTTTCAAGAAAATGAATCATTGGCATCCTTACATTGTTCACGTCACAGTTTAAAACTATGTCAGACCTTTTTTTGAACACAGATTTTTACACAGTGATTTCTTTTTTGTTGTTTTTTTTTTTTTTGTAAATGCTGTAAGTTGTTGTACAATGAATCTCAGCTCTGCAAAGAATCTTTTTTTTTTATCAGCTTCAACACATCACTGACTCTATCAACCTTCTTGCTCGTCTGACTTAACAGCGTGCCGTCTTCCCTGTATTTATAGTGGATGTGTGAACATGTGCCTGCATGAGCATGCGGTATGCTCCACATCCCAGAGGAGCTAAATGCTAGGAAGATGAATTTCTAGGTAATGGTGATGTTTTTCTGCTCTTGCCTTCGCTTACCCCTCCTTCCTTTCTCTGAGGAAATATCTGTAAACAGTGCTGCAGGGTCAGGGCCAGCCGGCACCACACAGAACCTGATAAGAAACCACATGGAGGCAGCAGCTGTTCCTTTTACACTTACAGTTTGAACCTTCCTCGTTCTTTTGCAGCGAACATGCCAGTCTGCTTTTCATTTTATTGTAATTTTTTTTTTTATATAACTCTTAAGAAAACTGTGACAGTAATGCACTTTCAAAAAAGGGCGTCTGTGGCCTAGTTTTGGCGAGATCAGTTATGTTACTTTCGGCATGGGAAACCACACTTTCCTCTTATCACAGTATGTCAGAGTCCATGTATACTTGCTGCTAACTCTTTGCCTTTTATTGTCGAGTCCTATAAGTTGTTTTGGAGATGAAATATTTACTTTACATCTGCAGAACCTCTGACCTAGATACCCTGTTTTTGCTTTTCCTCTTCGGGGAGAGAGGAGATGAAATGGCTCAACTTAAGTTCAACAGAGGCTGTTTACATTTCCTCTGGTTTGTGTTTTTCTTCAGGCTCTTTGAATGTTCTCACCACTAATGTTATTTACTTTGGAACATGAAATGGGGTAATAAGTACATAAATATGTGATGTGTTTGACTGTTGATCAATATATTGACCCGCTCTTCCTTGAAAATGTGTTTATCTCCGTAGAGCTTCCAGAAAACTGGACCGACACACGGGAGACCATCTTGGAGGGCATGACCTTCAACCTGCGACACCTCGGCATGACACTAGTGGACCAGCCCAAAGGAGAGGAGCTGTCAGCAGCTGCTGTAAAGAGGATTGTTGCCACGGTCAGAGCTCGACTAGTAATTACAATATCATGGACGAGTTTCTGCTGCCTTTCATGTTAACATAAAAAATTCCAAGTATGATATCTGCTTTGATTTCTTGCACAAAATGTGTCGGACAAATGCTTCAGTGGTTTCTAAGTTTCCTAATAGGCTTGATGTTTATTATGCATCTCATCAAGCTTTAGGATTTCCCCCCACTCATGTTGTTTTTCAGTTAAAGTAATGCTCCGAAAACAGGATTGTAGGGATTTTCACTGATAGTATTAAACTGGTAAAAACATCTCATACTGCTGAGATATGGTAGGTTTCCACCAGTGTTATTATTAAACCAGCATTTAAGATTTTACGATGGCTCTGGGTGGACGATCATAATTTGGCATACGATCTGCTTTTCAGAAGAATCATAAAGATAAGGCCATTTAATATTTTATTCATGGTTCTCTCTGAACATTTCTGCTCCACATGAAGTGAGCAAACGTGATTGTGACAGAATTAGGATAACGCTCATTGGATGCATCGCACATCTTAAGGATGTAACTTAACAAGCAGCGAGTAAACCAACATCTGGAAAGAAGCAGCAAAGTGGCAAAGATTAAAAATCCCTGCTTCTGTCAGAGCCTTCACAGCAGCATCAGAGGGAACACAGAATGCAGAGATTAATGAGTTAATACTAGACTTTAGGTGGCGAGCTTTGTATCCAGGCAACCATATGCATCTGTCTATCTGACTTG